CTATCACAACCTATATGAGTTTCTTCTCAAAGCAGCTAAAACAGATATCTTGATCCTAGGGAGCCACCGTCAACACACGATCATCTTGCATCTGATACTTGGCTAAGTAAAAGTCGGGTGTTTGCCATCGAAAATAAATCCGGATAACTATGTGACCACCACCGCCTAAATTTATCCATTCATTGTTGTATGGCAGCCTTTTAATTGCCCGCTTCCTCCTTTTTGAAAACCGTATCGTTAACTATTCAATAAAATGAAACAAATGAAAAAATGAAAAAAATCATTGGGTCCACCTGCCCCCCCCCCTTCCAATAGATTGCGGTTTTCACACACCGCCCCGCTGCCCTGCGGGTCAGGCTTTTGCTAGCCGAAGGCTCCGGTTGTGGATTCCTCAAGAAAATTCACCTGCTCTGGCCTGGATAAACTGGTGGTATTCAGCCCACATGCAAATCATGGAACATTTTTCTTTGTTATAAACATTATTGAACCATGATTTGTTTGGCAGACAGTCTGGCGTCAGACGTGTAAGAAATATATAAATATATATGATAAATATTAATTGTTGTTAATTATTATTACAAGTTTAATAATAATACAAGTATCATCATTGTTGCGGCCTAATTCGCCATTGCGTACCATATCATTTTCCTCCAGTACAGTCAACTGTTTCACACAAGGAGCATAGTATCTTGTTTTTATTCCACCATGGTTTTTTAGGCAGTCTTGATCCGCTCCACCGTAATTGCGGTTCTCCCCACGATGACAACGAATACACTCCCTATCTGCGGTGAAGTTCCTTTTTATGCATGTGGTTTGCTGTGAATGCAATAGACACCAAAAGCACCTAAGCTGCAGCGGACGGGCAAGGTTGATGAAAACGATAAACTGATTGACAGCCCCCTATCACAAGTTCAAGTGTGTGTGTGTCCTGTTCAGAATCAGTCAGTATACGCAGGACGCGGTGGTGGGTGACACGATCGACCCCTGCTTGTTCCATTTGCTATAACCAACGCATGGACCCCCATAATCGCATGCACGCACGCACGCCTTATGCACGTTTAGGTCACGTCTTTCGTTCGCTATATAACCCACTCGATGCGGAAACAAGACACGACGATAGCACAGTCATCGCATGCTTGCGTCTGTCTCTCTCAATTCTACTTCGATTCTCCTCCCTCCCTCTACCCAGTTCATCAGTTCAAACACCTCAGTCACACTGCCCAAGAGTGTCCTACCCCTCTGGTCTAAACGGCAGCAGCAGAAAGAAAGAAGCAGCAGCAGCAACAACAACAACAACAACGACAACAGCTGCAGTCGCGGCCGTAGCGGTCTGCGTCGGTGCTTTGTCTGCTAGATTGCGATGGCCAATCAGCGAGCAAGCTTCAAGTTGACAGATCGATAGTCACATAGAACTGGAGCTTTGTGTCTGGGACAGCTGATTTCTGGCGTGCATGCACTCGCGTATGTGCGTCGATCAGCTGTTTCCGTCAGTCTAACAGGACGAACAAAGCGCAAACTGGTATGGTTGGTCAGCTCGATTCATCGGGTCACCTGTGGCGAAAACCCAGCTGTTAATATCGGACTGCAAACAAGGGGATTGAGCAAGCTATCATTTCATGAGTTTTTCTTTTTTTCTCATTTTACTTATTTTTCATTGAATACACAGTGATACGATTTTCAGGAAGGGGGAGGCGATCAATCAAAGGGCTGCCATGAGGAAAGTCAGGCGGTGGTGGTGGGGTTCGAACACACGTCCCCCGAGGTGGTAATTTGGTGACGTTACCACCGGACAAATTAAAAACGGGATCACTATATTTCCAGCCTGCTGGGATTCATCAACACTACATACCCATTGAGCTCGCTAGGTTTCCAACTCCAGTACGAGGGTCTTTTATTCCGCTTGGGAAATACGCCTTCATAAACAATCGAAATAAAGACATTATTAAATGAATCAATACTCAGTTCACTTTTCCAATTGAATTATTAGATTTCTTATGTTGATACGGAATTCCGATAGCTTTTTTCCATGATGTTGAACGAATAAGTGCTTGACGTTTTGCATCTTCAATCTCAGCAAGTCATACCTGACTGGGAAAGAATCCGCTTTAATTCATCAAGTCTATTGAAATGAAAGTTACGCTGGTCCTAACTGGATTTTTGTGTCGATTCTGTGAGTTGGTTAGATGTATAACTTTCAATATTATTCACAACAATGAGAAAACCGTTCCTCTCGATGGGAATATATCGGCTCATTCATTCTCTATACCAGTGTATCGTTGTTGAATATATTGAAGACATTGACTTCGGAATTCATCATGCCCGCTGTACCAACAACGTTAAATTGTCGTCTTCTTGACTTCTGTTTCAACGGTGTAGGTCAAAACGAGTATCTAGGTGTTCAAATACTGAAAGTGAACAAATTAGCTTGGTTATACGTCTACGCAAATGCTTTACCGGCCGCCTTACTGTTTTGACAAGTAGGCATGAACGTACATTGAGAAATGCGGACCCGTGAGATCGATTGCAGGCTATCAGGAGCACTAAGCTACAACACAGATTAGGCTATTTAGTGAAGACTAAACTTCTTTTATCATGCATACTATTTGCTACATATGAATTAGTCGGATACATTAGTAATTAAATTCTTATTTTGTATATTGCGAAGTTTGTCAGACGAGAACAAGTACAACTTCCACAACCAATATATGCCCAGAACTTTAATATAGTAAGAATATATGTTAAACGGGTAATGAATGGATTCACCGATCCTTTTGACACGTAATGTGAATCTCATTGAATCGCGAAATTAGGATATCACTTTCAAAGATTTCACGGCAAGATCCCCTTTTTGTAGTTGCGTTGATTCTGCTGGAAAAGTGTTCTCAGAGGAAACCGCGTATTGCATCAAACAATTTACAATGATGTTGAAGTGAAACCATTGAAGAAACAGACTTTCATCGATTGACCGTCGTTATGCTATCGATTGCCCTTTTTTGAAAAGACCTTATTATTCTCTTGAAAAGCTGATCGTCTAACCGATAGGATGCAACACAGATTGTGTAAAATCCAAGTAAACGCAGTATGCAACCTGCCCTGGACAGCTGTTTCGTCCTGCTTGGGATTCGTCAGCAGTGCGCACTTTGTGTTCCTGTCAGGACCCAAACTGCGATTCTTCCGGTTGGGAATTCAAGCCTATACTATTGAGCTACACAGTTCGGAGTTCCAGCCGGAAGAATCGCAGCTCGAGTCCTGACAGGGACACAAAAAGTACGCATTGCTAACGAGTCCCAAGCGGGAATAAACAGCTGTCGGTTATCACAAATATTTCCATCGCATTTAAATGCATACAAACAGTGGGGAATTAACGATCTTCCAAGGGGTGAAATCCACATCAGCATCATCAACAGTGCTTGGTGCCCGGTACCGAATGGGCTAATCCAAACATTCATCGTCTAAACTCGTTTTATATTACATAAATTAATAGCAAATTATTTTACTTCCTTTTCTGAAACCCTGGGTCCCATTTATCCATCTCATCAAGTTTGAACGAAGACATTTTAGCATTTTGTTTAATCCTTTCAATCGATGACGTCAAACAAACAAGAGGAGTTGACCTATTGTTTTTAATTCTAATAGCTCCTGTCTATCTGTACATGTCAGTTTACTAGGATCTACAAATTCAATTTGCTATAAATGTGCTTGTTGGTTTTACGTTAGCGATTGAGAAGACTGAACACAATGTTAACATCTCGCAACATATTACTTCCTTTTTCTGTTTGTTGGTCTGTGGAGTGTACAACAAACTTTCAGGGGGAAATACAGATAAGAGGCGGCAATGACAGGGTTGGAACTCAGGACCTCCAAGTTGTTATTTCCACCACTCGACTGCCACCGCCACTGCCTACAGCCCACATGAAATACTGGGTAGTGACGTTCGGAATTTAGGATTCGGTAAGGTTTCCCTTTCCTGAAAACAACGGCAATGCTTGCCGCCTGAAATTGGCCCGATTTTTTCCAGAATGTTGTGTAAAGCAACATACGAAAGTTCGCGCGATTTGTTAACCGAACCAAGCATTCTAATTTATCCATTTGAGCAGCATGCGTAATAACGGCAACTTGCCCTACCTGATCAGGGAAGAAACAGGAAATAGCCGTGTGCGCATCCTGGGTGTGCGTCTGTTCTGGTTTGTGCACTGCGACTTCGAAAGGGAGAGAAAATGGCGCATCGTGCGTGCGTATGCAAGACCTGTGCGACACGGTGCGTGCATACACTCAATGTCGAATCGGATTACACGACCTTGAAGGAATCAGCTGAGAATTAAATGACCCTGAAGCCGATTGGTTAACTAATTCTGCTTGTCGATTGGTCGTTAGGTGGTAGTACGTGGCCAACGCCGAGAGAGACTACAAATACGCTGGCTCGTACGTGACGCGGTGCAGTTTGCCGTTCCTCAGGTCCAGCCCCCGGCCTGGTTGTGTTAATTGTGTGAACATTTGCGTCACAATTGTTATTGTTATTAATATTATTATCCTCATCATCACTTCTCACCTTGTGATTCGCACTGTGAAACTTTTGCGATTAGGTTTTTCAAGGCGAAGGATTTTTTCTGCCTCTGATATTCGAACATTTCGATTACCGGTATACTTTCCTACAAAATAGTCGGCCATTCAACTGGTTCGTGCGCCCATTACTTTCTTACAATCAAGTTTTTATTTGCACCAACGTCGGTTCATAAACGATGGATGAACGGAAATCGGAAAACACCACCACTTCCAATCAGACGAATCAAGTTTCAATGCCCGCTGCGACAAGCGGGAGCATTCAACTCTCTACCCGGTGTAGATTCGGCCAACTACGGGCCCCGAAAAGATGCATTGTCGACAATCGGCGAGTCCCGCTTCGTTCCCGGAGAAACCAACGAGGAGATATGGGAAAACTGACGGATAAGAGTGAAGGAGTTCATGATATCAATCACAACCGATGTTCCGTATCCGAAAAGATGTCGGGCATTCCCGTTCCCAAGTCTATGAATTTAGATACATCTCCACCCTTGACTCCTCCCGGATGTGATTCATCCTCCCCGAATGGGCAAACTTTGCCAGAGAACAAACGCCCTCGTCCTGAATCGAACAGTTCTGATGATTCATTGGATTTGTCTATATCCGCTCCGGCGTCATGCATGCGGGATTCGTCTCACTTAGTCACTTTCGGAGAAAGTCGCCTTCACACATCAACACGAGCGAAGGAGTTTTCTTGCAATGTGAGTTTTCTTGTAGCAGTCATCTAAAGTCTAATTTGAATGCTGCTCAAATTAGAATTTCAAGTAATTCATTAACACTGTTTCTGGAAACACTACATTTTGCATTACTTGTGTTTGAAGAACAACCTCGTTCTTATTGTGCCATGTAGGGTCGTGTATTCGTTGGTGTTGCCTTTCTTCGTTCATTTCCATGTTTTCTCTCAGCCTGATGTGTTTTCCGTCTCCAACTCTCAAGCTTTCTGTTGCAAAATCCGACCTAAGCTCGATTGTTTCTCGTGCCTAAGAGCTTCTTTTGTTATCGCACATTAAATGGCAAGATGCAAGAGCGGTGAGATGAGTGATTTTCGCTAACTCGAACTTAACTCAAGAAGTAACGTTTGCAGTCAAATATGGATAATTCTATCTCCATCGATTGCTTAGTTACTTGCTGTTGGATTTTTCGATGTCCGTTCTCCCCGAATCATGTATTTGTACTTTAAACTATTCTGGAGTTGCATCTGATTTTCCCAGTAGAGTGCGACGGTCATGATATACCTGAACCGGGTCGATAGTTTGCTGCTGCACCAGTGGTGATGTTCATCATCCAATGTCACTTACCTCTTTGTACCTGTCCTATGATTTCGGCCAACCTCCAGTTGGTGGCAGCTGTGACTCACGGCGGCACTGTTCCATGGTGGCGCAGTGGTTTAGTCACTGTCGCCGGCGTGCTTTGGATCCAATGGTTCGAGGTTCGAGCCCCACCACCACCACTCAACTTTGGTGGTAGAAAGCTTGGCTGTCGGTTCATTATCACTCCAGGCCTATCGGGGCCTTGTGTGGTTCGCCACTTCAAGTCCCGAGGCTTAGATTGCCGGTTATCATCAGTGAATAGCAAGTCTTCGTGACAATGGGATTCCATCCCATCTGCTGTCCATCACACCGGTGTGTAATGAATGAAGTACCGATAAGGATTGCATTGTGTATTGTTAAGAAAATGATTTTCCCCCGTAATCTTACGGTGGTTAATAATATTAACGGAATTGTCAGCTGTTTTATAACATGTGTGGATGTAAGTGATAAAACATGCCCCCATCTCTGAGTCTTATTATATTGCACTCACTTTTGCCTGAGATGGTTGTAAATTATGATAATAATAATGTTGTAACCACGGAGGACCACAAAGATACATTATGTATGCGTCCAAAGATATATATGGTATACAGTGATACTCCAGTGGTTATTCTACTTCGATAACTGAATTGATAGATCGCATTTCATATTCACTCAAATATAGTTGACGCTTGGAATTCTGCTTTTCCCGCAGGAATCGTTGGTGAACATGCAACTTCTTCGCACTCTATTGGCCAGAGAACCAAATTATCATCCGAACAATGCGTTTTTGTTCTATGTGAATCCGGTAAGCATTGTCTTCGAGCGTTTCTAAACATAGCTGACGGAATAGTTACTAGTGCTATCCGATACTCATGTGTTCATCACGTTTGACCAGTGCAAAAGGTTATGAAAATAACACTGGTCGTTGATTGTCTTTAATCGAGTGAGCCCATAGTTCTTTATTCTCCAACTTGATCATATTGATTGCTCAAACCGTGGGCATTATGACGAAGTCAATTTAACTTGGGCGTATACGATCGGATATCGCCCCTTAACCGCTCTGCACTGCTGTCAACACTTATTTCCATACTCATTACTGATTTATTGATTGACTCGTGATGATTATGAATAGAGTTCAGTAGGTTTACGTTGCACAATTTGTATTCGAATATATTTCGCTGTATCTCTTCAGCCACGTACTACAGATTACATAATATTCATGATCACAGTAAACTGAACTCGATGAATTCATTATGATCATGAATATTATATATATATATATATATATATATATATATATATGATGAGTAGCCAATATCTTAATTGCAAAATAACCTACTCTGGAGGGAGAGAATGTGTGCCAAACAAATCATGGTACACTAATCTTTATAAAAAAGTAGAAAAACGTTACATGATTTGCACCTGATGAGATACAGTGAAATATATCCGTGTTACAAAATGGGCAACGTAAACCTACTTTATTCTGACTCAAGTTTGATTCTGAAGTATTTGGAAGCTGAGACGTTCCCTTGTTAAAATCGAAAATTTTTACCATTTCATGGACTTAATAACATACTAACGCTTTTACCATTCATCTCTTCCCGATTTTTGTATATTCATGGTGGCTTAAAAACTCCGACTAGGCATGGATCGATAGGACCTTTTTGACGTGAGTGTGTTCTTCGTTCCATTTGCTTCATCTGTGTGCGCACACGCCATTCAGTTGGGTATACATCTGTTTGTGCGTGTGCGGCGGTGTATGGGCTAATAGGCTTGTAACTTGTATTGGTGACCGAGACTGAACGCGCGCACAAGCGCGCGCGTGTGAGAGAAATACAAAGAGTAGTTTCGCCTAGATCGAGGCTGTCAGACAAGACGCAACTATACAGACAGGCGAGTTGCCTCCCGTTAATTCCGCTGTTATCCTACCGGTCTGTCCGTCCAACTCGCCTTCCCGTCGTTTTCGTCACCCGCTCTCCCCAGCTGTGCTAATATCCTCTATCGTTATCTGAGTCCTTCCAAAGGCAGTGACGTCGGATCTAGCGTGCACAAGGGTGTCCATTTTATCGTAGACATTTGGGCTTTAAGATAGCAGTCGCTACGTCCTACTTACAGTGACTTAGACGTTCGCAACGGTTGTTTCAGCCCGATTGAAGTGGTGGGCATTGAACGGGCGTTGCTATTTCGCGTATCACCTGGGGATCGAACTTCTCAACAGTGTGTGAAAGTGATAGCTATTGCTTATCGGGTGTTAAAAGGCTTTTTGTTACTGCACGTGTATCATTTTGTTGTATCAAACCCAAATCGGAAAATAGTTTGGTTCAGAAAATAATTGTCACCATGTTGCTACTTGATTCTATGCGATTCTAAATTATTCGAGTGAAGACAATCCGCCACTTTTTACTCGTTCCACAGTTCATCATATTACTCTGCTTTGAAGTAAAACAATTTTATATGATATTTTATCAAAATAAAATTTCCTACATAAATGTTGTTGAATTGATTGCTTTATATTGTCGCTTCATCCTGGACCATTGAGTGTACGTAGTTGGGATAACCATCAACAGATAAGCGTCTTAACAGGATTAGAAGTAAAGCAGTACGCAACAGACCTTCCCCATTGTGTTGTATAAGGACTGCTTGATTGACCGCTTTCCCCTTTCTGAAAGTTGTATCATTGTATTTTCAACACAAATAAGCGACATTGAAAAAAGAAAAATCTTCTGGCTGTCCCTACTTGCCGACTAAGATCACAACAGTTTACTCTCGTTGACGAAGGTCGTTGACTGCGTTTGGTCGATCGCATTAGTGATGTACTCATTTGAATACTTTTTCCTGCACAGAAATACTTTGCTTTGATGGTTGATTTTTTAGAGCGTCCGCTCATCGTCTTTCGTTTCCCCTTTCCCCACTTCACCAATACGTGATCGCCGGCTTTAGGAAGTTGAAGACAAGGTCGATGCTTCACTGCGAAACGAAGCGGTGCATAATTTGCGTTTCATGCACAATGCGTTTTTCAATTTGACCACGGAAACATTCTGTAAAGCTGTCAACCTAATCGACCGATTCATCGTCAAAGTCAAGGTAGTTACACCTGGATATTCTGTTGTGTTTCAAGGTTTCTTTTCTTCCGTTTGCCTCAATAGATGATGGGCCCGATGCAATTTTCATATGCACATAAATAACTTGTACTAGAATGTCTCAATGGATTTTGTACTTCTCCCAAAACCACTACGATATGCGAGGAAAGGCAATTAGCGCAATTATGAGGAATCAATTCGCAGAGCGTGTGGGCGTTGGCTATCTCCTTTTTGAGGGAAATGTGACGCGTTTGCGCAAGAACTTTGGCAAAACCATGACGAAGGAAATATAAATCGCCATTTTGGCCCACAATCACTTTTATAGACACTTTATGCCACTTCCTTTCACAGTATTCGGACATTTTGGTCATTTTGGGGTATTTTTACAGCATTTTAGTGAATGACTGAAATCCATGCATCACACAGACCAGTTAGGAAGACAGAATAGTGTATTTTCTATTGCGTCACATCGATAAGAGACTTCTAGTGAATACAAAATAGTATAGGTCCGTTCGGGCATGTGAAGCAGATAAATGTTTAGAAAAAAGATGAATTGAACTTGTCTTCGAGTGAAACACGTGGAGGGTCGATGTTTTTGGTGAATGTATCCATTGTTGCGTTTTGGGCGTTATGCATACTTACATTCATGCTGGTGGTAGTTACTTCAACCGCTCGTGAATAAGTTGTTTCAGTTTATACACATTTTCTCTCCAACACTACGTAATTGAGGTATGGTCAAATTCGACCGCCTTTACCCACCGAAGGTGATAAACCTCCCCGGCTTTTCCACTGTTAGTATATCCACGTGTAAGCGCCAATCAGATCTTGGTCATTGGCTGGAGTATCTTGAAAAATATTCTACTATTTTGTTATATTTTGCTTTCACACGCCTGAGTTCACACTGTGTGCAAAACAAATATTTATCTTTATAAAAATAAAGCTCCATGATTTGCTCGAGGGCATGAGACTGCTAGGTTGCCCAGGCGAGAACAAGTGAATTTTCTTAGGAAGTTCACAACCGTAGCCTTACGCTAGCCGAATTCCGACCCGCAGGGCATCGAGAGGTTTTTTCCTCTCATAACAGTGATGAACAGCTGACTGGACGGGCCTAATAGTCGCGAGGACCTGCTGTTATGTGATGTAAACCGGTAACCCAGACCCCAGTACTTGGAGTGGCAAACTACACATGGCCCTGCTAGATTGAGCGTGCTATTGAACCGGTAGAGAGGCAACCTGGCTATTGCAATCTATTGGGGCCGGTATCCAGTTTATCGGATCATGCGCCCTTTAGACGGGGTCACAAGTCGATACTGTCCAGTCGAGACGATGACTACTACCACGTCCAGGAAGGTGTGTAGTTCATACGCACCATTTCTTGGTTGGCTTGGAATTGGGGTTTCTAGCCAACTGCCCTAGATGAACTGCCATTGGTTCATCGACAGTGTTGATTTTCGTCTTCATTTTTGTGGCAAAATTTCGCAGGAAAGTAGTGCGTAGGGCTTCATCAGCAGGAGATTTTTGAGGCGCTTGGTTGTATATTAGCATTTCGCATAGTGCAGGAGAGGGTGGCCGGGCACAATTCAAGACACTCCCGACCACATTAAGGCGTTCAGTAAGTTGATCCTCTTCAGCAGATACATTGAAATACATTCAAGAAGAGCATTTCTTGGGGCGAAAATTAGGCTCAACACACCCTTAGAGAATCCGTTGTTTGGAGTGATTTTAAGAAGCTGTTCGGCTTTTCCTTAAAGCTACCAATTTGGTTGACAGTGGTGGAGTTCAAACCGCAGACCCTATGGCCGCTGCTGACAGCGACTAAATCACTGTCTGGTCAAATACTATTATTTTCCTTTGAGGAGTTTATTACCTCGCAGTAGATCTACACAACTGGAGGAGGTTCGTCATCTTTACCAGTTCGTCTATTGACGGTCATGCTAAACACCGTACGAGGACTGATATTGTCAGTACTCCTGTCTTTTATGCTGTAAAGCACGATGTTCAAAATCTAAAGAGTGCGACACTCGTCTTTTCTTGTTTTTCCTTCTGAAAATCGGTATATTTAATTTAGTTTTGACAATCAGAGATCACTGATGAGCCATGATATTTTTTTGATGGTTGCATATCTTATAGCGTCCAGGAGAATTAACCGAGTAGTCAAAACGGGATGGAAGAAAATCCACCGGAATTATGGCTTTGTGCATGGTGCTTTTTTGGTGTTGGTCCCATCATGCAGTTATCTATCTGTCTTCAGAGCACTGTTACTCATTTGTTTCACCAATCTTGCGTTACAGGTCAAACCAAAGTACATGGCTTGTGTGGCAACGGCGTCCTACTGTGCGGCAAGCAAACTGACACATTCACAGGCAAAAGTGAGTCATCCAGACGATGAAACCCTACTATGGTAGTAATTTTTTGGTTAATACGTCTTCTGTTCTCAATTGCCTGTTTGTGCGCATCTTGGCGTTCACTATCGATTCATTCTGGCGGATGATTCTCTATATACAGTTGTCATTGTATCAGATATTCTTTCATACACTCGATGGCATGTCTGTATAGACTTGAAACCACGGGTCATTTTGGGGTTCGGTGTAACCCCTGCAAAGTCAATGGTATCCGCCACACGAAATCCGTCCATGCATGCATGCATATAGGTCAGTCGGTACCTGTGCTTTCAGCATCAAACTTGCAGTGACTTGCCCATAACATCTATTGTACTTCTTCCACATAGTATTTTGTTGTCCCACTGGTTTGGTGACTAGAGAGAGGTACATTCCAGAGAGGTAATCAAACGTTTCGTTCACTTTTTTATGCTGTTGGTTGAAAGTGTTGACCCCGTTACGATCCATCTGTCTTCGCGATCACCTTGTGTTGATGGGATGGGGGGAGGGGCGTCGACAATATTCGGTGAATGCGCGCATTCTCGCTTCGATCGGTTGTCTGATCGCATACACATCTCCTTCTACACATGTGTACGTGCAAATGCACACAGGACGACCGTGCATTCACGCATCCGTTGCACACGCTTGGTCGTGTGTGCCTGTATGTGGTCTTCATGTGCGCTTGGTTTCCATTACTGTTTATCGCACCACCCTGGAACTGAGCGAGGCACAAGCTACAACAGCAGCGACATTTGAAACAACTTGCAGTGTTTCTGACCTGACCGTGCAGCTATTAGCGCCAGGTCTGAATCTCATGTTGCTCATGTGTTCAACATAGAGAGGGAGGATGTGTACCCAATGCACTGAGTTGCGTCAATCTCGTGTTGGTTTCGTCCATGCAAACATGCACCAACAACACGCGATCACGTGCTGTCCTCGTCTTAATTACTTGAGACACTTGATCCAACGCCTTTCTGGTTGTGTATCAGTGCGCGTGACGGAGGAAAAATTGCAAGTGGTGGAATAAACATAAATAACTTCTATCTTCATTTATAGATTGATTTTTGAGCATGTCATCCTGTCGAGAGCCAAATTAAAAATTGACACTGATTAGCGAACCTGGCCATGTTGATCTTGGTGATCTTCCCGTTTCCCACCCGTCGGGCTCAGGTCTATCGGTAGTTATGGTCATGATTTAATATTACTGATTGTCGTAAGCGCAGGTGAACCTACTTTCTTCCCCCATACCGGATTTTTGCGCATTCTATGGTTTGGTCTTGGTTGATTGAATGCGTTGTCCCAAAGCAGAAACCAGAACCACG